CGCGGGCCTGCGGCCACGTCCCTCCGCAGCCGCCCCAGCAGCCGTTCCCGCTCCCTCGTCCCCCTCTCCCTGCCCACCCGGCTTCGCCTGCCAAGTCCGAGTTGGCACAGCTCCCCCGGCTGCGCCGAACAAAGCCGTCACCCATCCCCGAGCCGGCGCTGACAGTAAGCAAAGTGACAGGCGCATCTTCCGCATGTTAATCCAAACGGCAAGAAGGCGAACGAGCAGCGGAGGCCCCCCCTTGCCATGCACACACACGCCCCCCCTCCACCGACCCACGCACCCCACCCTTGGCACCCGACGGCCCCGATGGCCTCGTGCCGGGATGGCGAGGCCCCTGCCGGCGGGAGCACCGAAGCCTCCTCGTCGGCGAGGTTTAAATCGAGCCGAAGCCCTGCTCGGCGGGCAAACGAGGCCACTCGGCATCTGCTGTACCTGTTCCCGCTGCCTTCATCTCGCCTTGGAACCGTGACAAGAGCGCACTCGCCTCTGGTGGGCTCTCAAAGCCGCGGGTCTGTAACCCTTTGCAGGAAGTTGGCACCGATCCCAGGTAGGACTTTACTCCCCGGCTCTCGCTCTCTCCCCCCACCTCCGCCTCCCGCTCCCTCCCCTCCGCTCCCCCACCCATCCTGTCCCTTGGGCCCCTCTTGCGTCCCCCAAAACACCACGCGGGCCCCGCTCCCTCTCCGCCGTTCACCCGCCTCGTCGGCCGGGGGTAACGTGGGGGGGCGGCCGACGGCTGCTGGGTGCCCACCGAGCCCCTCGCGCCCACCGCCCTTGCACACGTACCCTGGAAGGATGACCTGGGCAAGACAGAGAACAACAACTTCCTGCTCTGGCTCCCTAAAACGCCTGTTTCCACGCAGGGTTTAGGCAGCGCGGCGAGACGGGGGGAGCTGGGAGGAGGTTTGGGGGTTTGTCGTCATTGAACCAGGCTTTTTTTTTCCTTTCCCTTTTTTTCCCCCTTTTTTCTTCTTTTTTTTTAGCCTTTTTTGCCTTTTTTTAGCCTTTTTTCTATTTTTTCCTGCCCTTTTTTCCTTTTTTTTTTTTTTTTTTTGGTGCCTTTTTTTTCTGTTTTTTTTTTTTTTTTTCCGAAACATATATTTTTGCCCGGCAGCCCAAACCCAACGCAAGAGGAAAGGGGGGGAAGAGAAATCAAATGGGAAGAGAATAGCTCCAAGTCGGCAGGACAATGCACGGGAAACGGGGAGATTAGAGTAGCTCTCGAAATCCATCACACCCGCCCCGTTTCTGAACCGTTCGCCCCCGCGCCTCGTCTTTTTTAATTCTCCCAGCTCCTGAATTATTCCAGTCCACGAGCGGGAGGAGAGCGCACAGTCCAGAGTCCCTCAGAGCTGCCAAGAGCATTGCAACAGGAAAGAAAGGAAGCGAGAGAGGGAGAGCCAGGCAGAGTCCTCACAATCGAGCAGCGAGAAGAGCAAGGAGAAATTAACATCCAATTAGTGCCGTGTTTAACGAGGGAGACAGAGGCGGCTGTTGTTTTATTGCCCTGTTCTTTTCAGGCGCATCTGACAGGCAGCAGGGAAGGCACCCCTGCTCCGAGTGACGTCATCATATTTTATTTTTTAATTATTTCCCCCCCCCCTCCTCCCCCCACGTCTTTCCTCCTTTAAGTTTCGCACAGACGATCTCGGCAACTCGGCCAGGGAAATTTGGGACTTTCTCGCATTCAAGCCACCGGCTCCCCCCTTCCACCTCCAGCCTCTCCCCCCCTCCGTCCACCGACACCAACCCCGGAAAAATAACCGCGCCAACCCACCCCAAAGTCTTTGTTCTTCCAAATAAAAAAAAAAAAAAAAAAAAAAGGAAGGAAAAAAAAAAATAATAAACGCTGGGATGAGAGCCGGAGGGAGCCCGGAGGAGGTTTCTCCGCGTGCGCGTCCGAGTGCGTGCGTGCGTCGGTCCCCTCTCCCGTCCCTCTCCCCAGACGCTCGCTCGCCTTGTAAAACTTTGCGGCATGTGACGCTGCTCCGGCCTCCTCTGGCAGCTTGACAAGAGCCGCCCGGCCGCAGAACGCAGGCGGCTTTTAAGGGAGAAACTCCATTCCGAGGGATTAGAGGATTCACATGCTCCCAGTGAGGGCCGGCGCCTCCAACAACGCGGTGGCGATGCGGACCCTCGCCCCGCCAGCCCGGCCGCGGGGGCACGGCAGGGGGGAGAGGAGCTGAGTTTAAAGCTGGGGAGGCTTTTTCCCCCTCCTGCCTCTCCCCTGGGATGGAGGGCCCAGCAGCATTCCAGCACCAAGGGAGGTGCGTGGGGGCCACAGTGGCCACAGGGAAAGCAGTCTCGGCCCATCCCATGTTGCCACCTCTTCCCCAAAAGGCCCAGGTCTCCTCAGGGCAGGATAAAACACTGTTGGCTCCCCACGAGAGCACTGCCATCCCGGGGGGGACAGGGTGGCTCAGCTTGGGGGAATTTGAGGGAGTTTCCCCACCCAAAAAGGCCCAAAGCAGGCAAGGGAGAGCGTTGAAGCAGCTTCCCCACATTCTTCCCGTCCTCTTACCAGCCACCAGCAATGGATGGAGCTGCCACTGCCATCGTGGCAGGTCAGGGCACCGTGCTGAGCTTTCCTGTCATGCCCTTCATGGCCTCTTCTCCTTGTTTCCAGCTGGGATTTCCCTTGTTTAGGGGGGAATAGTGCAGTAGGACCCAGCTCCTCCAAAACCCCCTGTTTTGGATGAAGGCCATCCCAGAGGACAAGGCTGCCCCACTCACAGCAAGGACAGGGCCAAGTGAAGACAAGGGGACAGGGACAGGGCCGCTGGTGCCTGGGTCCGGCCCAAGTCCCCACCCTGAGCATTTCCTGGCACCAGCCGTTCCCACCACCCTGGTGGCAGGATCTCCTCCGTGAGGGTTATTATCTTACATATATATGTGTTTTTTTTAAGGAATTATTTGCCTACGTGGAGCCCGGCGCTGCGGCAGAACAGCGCAAACAGCCTTATCGAGGGCAGCGCTGCCGCAGGGCACTTCCTCGTGCACGGCTGCAGAACGGGGCCCTCCCTCACTGCCAGGGGGGTTGGCAGCCCCTGGCCTTCCCGCTGACCAGGCACCAGGGTGATGGACACCATACAATCCCAAGGAGAGGTTTTCTGGGATGTTTCCCCCCTGGCTCTGCAGCGGGAGAACAGCGTGGCCCGGAGGGGTTCGGACTGAACTGAAAGGTCTTTAGCAGGACGGTTCTGCAGGGGAAGGGAGAGGACGGTGCAGTCATCAGCTGCACTTCCCTGGGCACAAAGGCTCCACCAGCATCTCGCTGCTCCCTAAATCCTGCCAGACCCAAGCATCCAAGCTCTGCGGAGAGACAGACCAGCCTTGACCTGAGATTCCCTCTCCCGGCTGCGGTCGCTGCCTCCCTTCTCCCCCCGGGCAGCCGGGAGCAGACGAGGCCAAAGTCCCGGCAATCTCTGTTTTCCACTGAAGGCTGATAAGCCGCACAGGCACGGAACGGCAGCGATCCCCACCCATCCCAGTTTTGTGCAGAAGAGTCAATATTTAAACACGAGTTTGTTTCCTGGGTGGATAGAGGAGCGTTGGTGGGAGAAATCCCCGGCTCCATCCCGGGCGCCAGACACAAACCTCCTCCTTCCACCCCTTCATTTGTTCTCCCGACCACGTTTCACCCTGGATCCCCTCTCCTGTGGCGATGGGGCCCCATTGGCTGAGCTACTTAAGCACCAGCTGCAGGGTCAAACACTTGCTAATGGGCAGCGATTTAAGGAATGCCCGAGCAGGGTTTGGGTTGTCTCCTTGCCTGCTCCTGGTGCAGACGCCGTCCTTGCGGTGGGACACCTCAAATGGAGTGTGGGACGAGAAGAACCAGGGCTAGAAATGGGTAGAGGCGAGGAAATATTTAATCATCCTAAGAATGGCAGCCCCTGCTTCAAGGTAAGGCAGTGAACTGAAGGCTTTGAAACCTGGTTTTCATTTAAATTGAGTGAACAAAACCGATATTCAAGTGTTGTGTTTACAGCAAAGTTTGCGGGTCATAGAGAACTGGGCAGAAATTGCTGGCAGGAAGCTTGCTCTGGTGCAGGTTTAGGAAAATTCCTTAGGTAAATTCCTTAAGTAAATTCCTCAAAGCACAGGAAATAGCACTTCTCACTGCAGGGGCTGCAGCCAGGTTGTGCACAGGCTGCAGGGGGTTTCACAGGCATGTGACCAACAGAAAGTGGCCTTAATTTGGAGGGTAAAGGTACATATTCCAGAGCAGGTGGGGTGTGATCCGGGAGATGCAGTGCCCAGTGTTGGAACAGGCAGAGGCCAGTGGGTGAGGATGCTGTGAGGGGGAAGATGGAGTGGCTGAGCCCACCTGACAGGTCTGACAGCAGCAAAGGGTCTCCAACACCCCTTCCAGAAGACCTCAGGGTCAATTTTAACTCCAAACCCCTAATCCCATGTATATTGTCTCATGCAGCCAAGCCCTCTGCTGCCTCCACCCTCACTCCACATGCACCCAATGCAGTTTGCTCAGCCTAAACCTCCTGATCTTCCATGGAGGTGAGGAAAATCAGGGGGAAACTGAGTTTGTAACGGCTGGTTTAGCTCTGCTTTGGGGAAAAGACCAAAGGGAGTGCCTGTCTTAAACTGAAACCTTCCCTGAGAGAGCCTGTTATGCAGAAAAAAAAAATCACACTTAAAAAAAAAAAAAACAGGAACACCCAAGAGTTGTTTTATAGCTGTATTTTGGAGCATAATTAAATCCTCTTTGAAATCATCTCTGGTGTTAGGGAACAGGTCCATGCATTATTTAACTTCTGTTACTGTAGCACAAATGGGGAGGGAGGAAGGGAGGGAGGGAGGACAGACAGGACCAACTTCACTACACCAAAGGGAGCTGGGTGGGGACTGCCAGTCCCAGCAAGTACCACCACTGTCCTGCAAACCCTGCCTGGGAAGTGTGGATCGACCCTGCCTGATGGAGAAAAACCCTGTGTGATGGCAGGCCGGGGTCCCCAGAGGACCAGGATGAGATGTGACCCCAGCTGGTGCTGCTGCAGCACACAGGAACCTGCTCATGGACCCCACAACCTCTTCCCAGGGAGTGCAGCATCACCTCTGTGCAAAAGACTGCTTCGTGGGGGAACCAAAATGGGGAAATCTGCCTGGCTGCCATCACAGCACAGACTGGTGCAAAAAAACTCTTGTCTGAGCACAAATCCTGCCCTGATGCCACCTGTGAGCTCTGCTACACACACAGAGCCAGCCGTGCTCCCGTGAGCCCTTGACCCCAGTGCCTCATGAGCCTTTGGCCAGCTCCAGGTTTGCTCCTTTATTCCAGGCAGCCCTGGGCTGTGTGCCCCTGCTGCCCTGAGCCCTTTGTGGGCAGCACTGGCATCCAGTGCCTCCATGTCCATCAGTGAAGGGGGAATGCTGGGGTTTGGGAGCCCAGCAGGGCTCCTGGTGCTGCTGCCTGGGAGATGCCCATCAAAGCAGTCGGGCCAGTCCAACCCAGCTCCCCTCCCTGCCTGCCCAGCCCACACCAGCAGCTCTGCTGGATGAACCTTAAATACAAAGACCCTTCCCAAAGCCCTGACATCAGCAGCATATATCCCTCCCCAAGCACTCTCTCCATGTCCATGTCCCAACACTGCCCTGAGCTGAGCTGTACCTGTCTCTCTGGGACTCTGCTGTTCTTTGTAGTGGGATTGTTTCCCTTCTCTGTTTTGCTCCCAGGTGTTCAGGTACCCTTAAACCTTAAATATGGATCCCAGGTTGATCTTGCCCAGGATGAGCTCCCTGCCACACAAAGGTGTGCCCTCTCCAGAAGGATGAGGCAGGAGGGTGGTCACCTGGCATAACCTTTGCAGCGAGGTGACCTTGGATCTCCTGCTGCTTCTCAGCTTGGGCAGCACGAAGCAGTCTTTTTTCCCTGCAGCTCCTTTAGTACCTGGGCATTTTCTGGATTCCTGGACTTCCCCAGTGACTCCAGAGCTACAGCCTGGACCAAAGAGACAAGACAAACGCCCTTCTGCTCTCTCTGCTACACATCCCAGTCGAGACAGCCATGAGGATGGAGCTTTGGTCCAGCTGGAGCCTGAAGCCAGATGTCCAGAAGCCAGTCAGTCACTGGCCTTGCTGGAGAGGAGGTGCCAGTTCTGGCACCGTGGACTTCGGATCGGAGAATAGAAACATTACACATATCGAAACAAGCTTGGGGTTTCTGGAGGAGTCCACGTCCATCAGCTGCCCCTGCCCAGGATCAGTCGATGGGGAAGGAGGCAGCTGGGATGGGAGCCCTGCGGAAGAGCAAGCTGGAGCCACGGAACAGCTGCCCCTGTGGGGGAGAGTGAGCACAGGGTCAGGGCAGCTGTGCCGAGGGAACTGCAGCTGGTTTAGCAGGGATTGACTCGTGCCCAGGGCAGGGCTGAAAGGTCTGGGCACCCTGAGCTGCTGTGGAGGAGTAAGTGGTTTTTCAGCCCTGTGGGTGCTGGAGTCGGGCATTTCCCTCAGGGATGATGGATGGAGAGGGGCAGAGACCCTTTGCTGCAATGCACTGGCTGAAAGTTTGCAGGCTGCAAGCTCGGGACAGGTAATGGGCAGCACTGCCACGGCTGGTACCAGAGCCAAACCAGAGGGACAGAAGCAGGTTACAGAGCACTTCTGGGGAATGCTGGAGACCTTGGGAAGGAGCAGAGGGAGCCCAAAGCCCAGTGTGTGCCCCGCTCCCTCACCTGAGCACTGAGGTACCTCCAGCAGTGGATCCAGGATGTGAAAGCGGGAGCGTAGGGAGGGAGGCCGGCGCGCAACCTGCGGGGCAACAAGGAACAGCTGAGGGATGTCACGTTATCCAGACAGGTAACACAAGAGCAGCAGTGAGTGTAAGTGAGGACACAGAAACAGTGTCTGCACTGGGCTGGCGGCCAAATGACCAGCTCGTTATTTACAATGCACCAGATCATGTAATTTAATTACCCCTGGAGTGTACAAACAAGGAGCGTTACCTGGATACGTTAAGAGTCCAGGACTGTATCTACTCCTTCAAGAGCCAGAAGATACTGAGAAAACACTCCACCAGCTGCTTGGATCCCTTTCCCATGAGCACAAATGCAGATTTCCTGCAGCAGTGGGATAGGGAAGGCAAGCCTGGTCCTGCTCCTGTCTGCACCCATCACTGCAGTAAGAGCTCTGCTTCCCTCGTGCCCCTCCCTGGAGCCAGCACGGTCCCTTTGATCCCTCTGCCTCCAGTCTAGCTCAGGTTGGACCACACCACCACGACTCTCCCTATTTCTCTCCACTTGAGCTTTTCTGCTGCTCGTGTCTGTGCCCTCTGATCTAAAATTATAAGCAACCTGGGACAGGAAACGAGCCAGCTCTGCGAGGTGCCACAGGGTTTATGGTTCTGTAGGAAAGCTTTACGGTCGTTAGCAGCGGGTTCAAACAAGGGGCTGCAAGAAAGGGAGGGAAAGCTTTAGATCTCAGTGTGAGGGACATACCCACAGTTGTTCACTGCCATGAGATCTCCCACGAGAAGGAATGGGTACGTCAGCATGCTCACAGCAATCTGAAAGCAGAGGAGAACAGTGGCCTCTCTAATGCTCACCATGTCAAAAAAGCTATCTCCAGCTTTAGCATGTTATCCTCATTTGGATGTAAAGTACAGACCAGCCTTTGTCCTCAGACCACAAGCTCTCAGGTCCCAGATGGCAGGAAGAGGGGAAAGGACATGGCAGTTGCCTACATACCCCCATCACGAACTTTGTGTAGCTCCGGATCACTGATGCCTGGCTGAACTGCAAAGAGAAACCACAGGGATTGTGGAGGAGGGGGATGACACCAGGCTGTCACAGTCACTGTGTGACACCCCCCTGTGCCTGAGGCGAAGGGCATGGGGCAGAGGAACAAGGCAAAAAGCAAACAGTGACCATGCTGCACCCCAGCTGAGAATCTGGGAAGGCATTTGCTGTCAAATCTGATCCCCCAAACTGCAGGTGAGGCACAGCTCTGAGCAGACACAGCGCCTTCAGCCCTCTCACAGGGATGTACCCAAAGCCAGGTATCTGTATTAAATCAGCCCCTACTTCCCAGTAACTCCTTCCAACTGCAGGTGCCTGGTCCAGACCCCAAACCCTCCATTGGGCACTGCCACTCACGTTATCGTCCACTGCGTAGGTGTTGATGAAGTGAGCCACGAGGTTGCAGCACCAGAGGAAGATGACATCCCCCAGGATGTGAGGGACTAAACCACTGCAATGGCAAAAGGAGGGCTGTGAGGTGCAGGAGGGTCCCAGTGCCACTTTCCGAGGTGCCCAGCCCTCCTTCCCTCCACCAGCACACAGGACACCCACTCCTCAAAATGCATCTTTGCTTTGGGAGGAACTTCAACAGAGAAGATGATTTCAGGGAAGAGACCTCCCAGCCTTCACTCAGCTCTAGAGTGAGAAGTGTTTGCAATCTGTTGTTTGGGCATGGCTCAACTCCCCTTGTTCTATCCCAAAATCCCTCCTTGGCCCAACTCCTGCTCAGAAACCCAAGCAAGACACAGATGAAGTGGTTTCCATTTTTGCAGATGCTTTTTTGGATGCAGGATGAGAAGTTCATCTCATTGTGGAATCTCTCTTCTTTTAGAAATCAAAATGATAGGGACTGTTCCTGCACAACCCACTCCACTGAAAAGTGGGATTAACTGGGGGCAGCACTTCTGTCCTTCTGATTTTTCCCAGTCCCTGCTGCTCCCAGGAGAACAGTTCTTTGGTTTATGCCTCCCACCAGCACACCAAAGCTCCCAGCAGCGCCAGCACCCCCAAACTTCTGCAGATAATGGCACTAAAAACATTAACAAAACATTCCAAAGGGTTTCTCCAGTTTGTTGGTGCTTTGGCAGCATCTGTTGCACCAGTGCAGCCATCGAGCACAGGGTCTCCTGCTTTTGCAGGGCTTGTTCCACCCCAAGAGGATCCAGGTGTGTGTTAAAACTTGTGTTTCACCAGCAGATGTGGTCAGTTCTTCTGAAAATGAGCCTGTTGAGAGCCACACGAGCATTGGCTGGGCTGGAAAGAGCCAACTCCAAGCACTGATTTATTCATTTCTTCCCAAACATGACACTGCCTCTTGGAGCAGGGGACCAGTTTTGTTTCCTGCTGTGGTTGCTGCAGCAGCAGAGCAGCAATTGGGACTCTGATCCAGCGTGCTGTGCTGGCACTTTTTGTAGACAACCTCTGTATTTTCAAGGCCCTGGCAGCTCTGGGGATGCAGCTGAGGTCTCAGGGACCAAGCACAGCAGAAATCTTCAACAGAAGATCTGCTGGCTTAAAAGATGTGAGACATGAGAGCAGCAGACAGGACAAAGAAATCAAAGCTCTCTGGTCCCACAGAGATGGTCTGCTTTGTGTTTGGCTTTCAGCCTTAGTAAAAAGCATCCTTTCTCTAACTCAAATTCAAGTCTGAAGCCCCTGAGCTGCTGCAGATATGATGGGGGTTTAATAAAGTCCAGAAACAGAAAGCTGGGCCAGGGGAGGCACATAAGGAAAACCTCACCGTTATGTTGATAGAGAATTGGATTGTTTGTTCCACTTGCAATAAGGATCTCATCCTTTTCTCCCCTCCAAAATAATGACAGATGCTGGCCCTGAGCTTATGGGATGCTGGAGACCAGGGAGAGAGCTGCAGAAAGGGACTAAACAAACCCAACAAGCCTGAGGCCTGAAACTTCAGAGCTGCCTTCACTATTATTGCCATAATAAAGTGAGTAGTACAGTTCTCACACCTGGTGAGATGTCCAACATCTGGACTAGGAATATTTTTGGAAGATGATGAAAAGCTGGAACAGCAACAGGCAGATGAGGAAGCCTGAATGATGTACAGTGGTGTGACCCAGGGGGAGGAAACCCCAGTGCAAAGGACAAACCACCTTTGAGCTGACCATGCACAGCAGTTTCAGAGCTCAGGAAACATCTTTCTGGCCTGGCAGGAGCCTGCTGCAGATATGAGGAGAAGGGTGTGGACTTATCTCTAGCCAGGCACTCGTTCAGAGAGTGTGTGCTGCTGTTATTGCTGGGTAGGGGTTTTAAGACCACAAGAAACAAGTGCACTGTGATGATTTTAAGGGAGTGGATGTGCTGGGATTGCACCAGGAGGGCTCAGAGGAGAAACCCAGCAGTTTGGTCCTTCAGATGCAGTTTGTGGTCCCCTCACAGCAGTGGGATTTCCTAACAGGGTTATAGAGCATGTAGAACTTCAGAGCCCTCCTGAGACAATTTGGGTTGTGTTAAAGCCTTTCCTGTGAACTATTAAGTTTAATTAGGCGACCAGGAGTGTTTATTTTATGTGGATGGAAGGGAATGTGGCGGCTGCTTTCATATCACTTCCCTGGGAGGTGGAGGGTTGTGGGCAGGTTGCTCCAACCAAACTCCCCACTCAGGGACTATCCCAGAGGAACCTGGATTTAATGGAGGAGATGTGGAGCTGCACAGCTTAGCTGAGAAGATGCAGTGACACTCAATTGATGGGGACTCTGCAGATCCCCGGCCCTTTCCTCACGAGACCCCCCCATGATTGCTTCCCTCTTCCTGATGTATTCAGGTTTCATTTGGAGGCCCACATTTTGTCATTGCAGAGCCAAAGGCATCCTGAAAACCCCTCCTGAAATTTCAGAGCTGCCTTTACTATTATTGACACAATACAGTGAGTTATCTCCCCACCACAAGCAGAGACAGCAGGTGGTTCTTCTTTTGTGTAGATGTGAAAAAGAAAGGCAGGAAGCATTAATTAAGGCTTCAAGCAAAAAGGTGTCCACTAAACTTCCATTTCAGTGATCCCACCAATTTGCCACCTTCCTGGAAGCAGCTGGAAGCATCTTTCAGCTCCTCCTGGTCCAGGCAGGAACACTGCTGAGCCAAGGCAGCCTCACAGTCCCAACCACACAGGTAAACCTGCTGCCATCAGCTCATTACAAGCACCCACTGTGCCCTGCAGAGCAATGTGCAGCTTATCCAGGCCCTGGCTTTCATTTCAACAAGGGATCTTATTGTTGCACTTGATCTTGGTGCCTGTTGCACAAACAAATGCTCTAAATGGTTCACTGAAACACAAAGAAGGGTTAAGGGAAAAGGAAAGATAAGAAAAAATACAGGGTTTCCTCTGGGTTCTGAAGGTTTGATTGAAGATAAGATCTGGGGCAAACTTAATGGCCAAACTGGAGCACTGTCAAAGGCACAGATTTAATCTGTGCTCAGGGGGGTGATGTGAGAGTCCCTTGGTCAGACAAGGTTTCAGCTCAGTGTGGCTCTGGCTGAGGTTGGCAGAGCAGCCAGGAGAGCCATCGGTGTCTTTGGACTGTGGGAGAAAATATTTAAACAACTCACGTACACAAAGAATCCCAGGATCCCTTCTTCCTTAAATATCCTGCCAATGGCACTGAACACACCACTGCCAAGAAAGGAAAAGAGCTGTGAGCGTGCAGGGGTTGTTCCATCCCTGCCCTGTGCAGCTTCACATGCAGCCCCCAGCCATAGCAGTGTCTCCCCAGCCATCATTCCAGCTTGTTCTCCTCAAACCAGGAAGGTCTGAGGGAAGGAAGGTCGTGTCTGCACTCTCCCAGTCTCCAATAACACCCAGGACAACACTCACCCTGCAGACAACTGTTTAATGCTGAAGGTACAAGAGCTCTGCATGGCTTTGTGTGAGTGGACACAAGTGCCACAACCACAGCACATAGTTTGATCAGGCTGATTCTCAGCCCAAGAACCCTGTCCTGCCTTTGGGAACTCACACTGGCTGTTGTGGGTTAGCTGCAATCCTGTCTAGCATACTTCCATGTGACTGCAGAGAGCCAGGTATTGCTAGAAAAGACTTGGGAAAATCCTTGCAATGCTTTGTATTATCTCCTCTGCCTCCCTGCTGCCTTCCCTTTCCATTAACACATAAAGCAAAAAGGCAGGAGAATCGCTGTGTGATCAGCAAGGTGTGTTACAGCCCCAAAACCCCACAGGCACAAGGTGGAACAGAGGTGTGACAGACCCAGCCTTCCCATGTCCCCTCATCCTGCAAGTCACCCACCCTCTAACCACAGCTCAGATTCATTTTTTGCTCTCCCAAACCTCCTGGGTTGCTGTATTTCTCATGGCATGGCAGCACCTGGCACCCCTGACCCCCAGAGGTGCAGCCACTCACCTGTACTTGACTTCCCGGCCCACGAACTGGACCATGCAGCGCATGGAGATCACTGGGAGGAAAGAAACACAGGGCTGGTAAAGAAACAAATCCAGTTTGGCTTGCAATGGACATGAAGGAAAATTCAGCCTGACCCTCCTGCTCTCCCTTCCCTCAACTCACAGCACGTCCAGCTCCTCATCACTTCAAGACTCATTAGAAACGGGTGCCTTTGCTGAGCCTGTAAGTGGTGGGAAGGATTTTGTAGAACCACAGAGAGGTTTGGGCTGGAAGGAACCTCATAGATGATCTTTTTCCAAACCTCCTGCCACGGGCAGGGACACCTTACACTAGCCCAGGTTGCTCCAAGCCCTGTCCAACCTGGCCTTGGACACTTCCAGGGATGGAGCAGCCACAGCTTCTCTGGGCAACCTGTGCCAGGGCCTGCCCACCCTCACAGGGAAGGATTTCTTTCCAACATCCCATCTAGCCCTGTCCTCTGGCAGTTTGAAGCCATTCCCCCTTGTTTTGTCACTCCAGGCCCTTGTAAAAGTCTCCCCCCAGCTCTCTTGGAGCCCCTTTAGGTACTAGAAGGCTGCTAATGGCCCTAACCCTGATGGAATCTCTGGGACAAGCTCTTGGATGAACAGGAAGAGAGCAGCTCATCGCTGGGCTGGCTTAGTCCCTGATGCCAACCCAGGTAGGAGCCTTGTATGACAGAAGAGTGTGAGTAAAGAGGGTTTTGGGGTGATCCTCAGCCTGGAGGGGGCTGCCAGGAGGAGGGACAGGACTCACCATGCAGTGGATGTGAGACAACCCGGGACACACACTGCATCATCATCTCGTGGGATGTCTGGGGAGAACAAACACACCTGTATGAAAAGCTGTGCTGCTCCACCTGCACAGATCAGGCCCTTTCCCTAAATGTGGGGAAACCCATTTTGGGTCCCTCTTGAAATCTGTTCTTCGTGGCAAACCTCTGTTGCTATGAAGTATTTCATGGCTGGACACAGAGTGGCTGCTGAACACCACTGACTTCTCACCCTGAGTTTCTCTCCCAGAAATCTCACCCACAGCTTAAGCTTAAGCTTCCTTTGCTCTCCACATCCCTAGTGGGATCTCCCCATCACTCATTAACATACAATATCCACTTCTCACCTCTCTCACCACTTTCCTAAGGGAAGTTTTCACATCATCCTTGTTAGACACATGCTCCATGTCTTCCAGTGGAAAAGCCTGAGTGGAGAAGGAAGAAACATGGTCAAAACTGATGGAGATTCTGCCCCACAAACCCTCAGAGTCTGAGGACAGAGGGAAACCACAAACAGTTGTGCTCTAGATGTGAGGAGAAGACAAAAAGGCAAGAAGGGATACAGGAGAAGGAAGGATGGAAAGTAAAACAGAAGAAGAGAGGGGTCATGAAACTGCTGACAAAAGCTAAAAGGCAAGGGAATGTTCATATTAAATTAAAATTAATTTAAAAGAAAAAAGTTCTGGGGATATGGGTGCTGGAGGGTTATTCCAAGCCCTTAGGACATGGAGAGGGATGGGTGCATTGGTCCTCCACGTGCAGTCCTGGCTGGCTGCAGGCACTTGCAGGCTCCCAGCTCTGCTGCAGTAGCACTGACTGACCCAGCAAGGTGATTAATGGAGAGAGAATCCGACCTTTACCTTCTTCACACTCCCCCTGGTGATGGTTGATAAAGTGCTTGAGATGAGGCGAGGAGTCAGACCACGGAAGAGGCCTCTTTTCCCATCCACTTCCACGATGTGTCTGGCTGGGTGAGTAAACACCAGGCTGCTGTCAGTCAGGGAGGGGTCAGCTCATGGAGAGACACCCCAAACACCTCCAGCACTCAGCCAAAACCACACCAGTCCCACCATAAGTGATTTATTAATGTAACAGTTCTAAATAAGCTTCATACAGGATGCCAAGAATTCTTATTCCCTGCCATCTGTCTAATCTGGAAGGAAAGCTCCAGTATTTTGGGCTCCTTCTCATCTTTTGATGGTTTTGCTCACCTGAAAGGGCTACAAGGCAAGTTTGGACTGAACCAGGGTCGGGAGGGATCATCCCACGTGGTGTCACCAGGGATCATCCCACTTGCTGTGTGGTGTCACCTTCTCCCTCCACCCCCAGGGGTCAGACTCAGGGTTAATGTGGATCTCACAAACCCATGTTTAGTTCCTGCCCCACCCCCTCCTCCCAGGTAAACTTCCTCAGGTCTCCAGTCACAAAAAAAAGCCAACAGATCCAATTTCTCCCTGACAGAACAAGGTGGGAGACAGCCCACTGCGTGCTGGTGGGTACTGACTGCTCCTGCTCCCCAGCTGGTGCTGTCCAAGTGAAGCCAGGAGGGCTCTGCCCCCTCCATCACCCAACACTGCCCATCTGTTTGGAAAATGCATCTTCCAAAGGGCAGCATCAGAGTGTTTCCAGCCCTTGGTGTCTCAGGACGGGTTTTCAGTGCTCTTGCATTGCTCCTGTGCTGGTTCCCAACCCATGGGTGCTGCTGAGATTTTGGGATTGGCCCAACTCAGCTTTCAGGACTGTGCATTCCCCTTCCCCACAGCAAAACTGCTGTGACTGCAGGTCACAAAATATTCACCCACCTCTCCCAAAGAGAGCAAAATACTACTGGTTTTTTCCTTCTGAACATATTACCTCCTCTTTTCTTGGTCTTTCTGTCCCCTTAGGGCTCCATCTACAACAGCAATGAGCAGGGCAGGGGGGACAGGTTATTGCAGGGTTGTTTTGGAGCAGTGTTGGCAGGAGGGGACCTTCACTCACCGTAGGTGAAGAAGCCAGGCAGGTACAGGACTTTCCTTCCCAGCACATTTCTTCCAACAGTTGGAGGTAGTGGCTCGTGCCCAACCTGTGAGAGAAGCCCCGTGAGCACGTCCCTGTCCTGGTGTTCCCAAAGCCTGGATCCAGCATCCATGAGCTGCCAAAGGGCCACATTGCCCCTATCACCCTCAGACAGACGGGGATGCCTTGACGTGGGCACTCCCCTTCCCATTATATGGGGTCCCAAGGGTACAGGGGGCCCTGTTCCCCCATTTTTGGAGGTCCCTGTTACAGAGAGGTTCTCGGGATACCCACTATAGAGGGGTTTCCCATCCTTTCTTATATGGGAGCCCCCACTGCAGAGGGGATCCTCATGCCCCCATTTTATAGGGGTCTCCACTGTACGAGGTGTCCTCATCCCCTGTCACAGGAGGGGGTCCCAATGCCCCCACTATAAAGGAGCCCCCACTGTATGGGGGTCCTCATCCCCCCATTATACAGTCCCCCCATTTTTATACAGAGATCCCCATTACACACAGGGACCCCATCCATTACATATGGAGGTTCTCCATTCTACAGGTCCTCCCCATGCTACAGGTGCCCCCATTGCACAGGGGGTCCTGTTATAACATGGGGGGCTGTATATAGTTATCCCTATCCCAAGAAGGTCTCCATAGGCACACTATACAGAAGCCCACCTCCCTCCATTACACTGGGGCCCCGATTCCCTGTCATATCCCCTTATATCCCCCACTATATCCCTTTACATCCCCCATTATATCCCATTACCATTCTATAAGTGCTATAGGTGCCCCCACCACACAGGGGGTCCTGTTATCACTGTATATAGTGATCCCCATCCCATGGAGGTCTCCATAGGGACAATATACAGGAGCCCACCTCCCCTGTTATCCTGCAGTTCAGATCCCCTATTCTACACAGGGACCCCATCCCATTACCATTCTATAGGTGCCCCCCATTCCATAGGTGTTCTCATCACACAGAGGGTCCTGTTATAACGGGGGGCTGTATACACAGTGACCCCCATCACATGGATGTCTCCATAGGGACACTCTTTGGGAACCCAGGTGCCCCTTTTTTTTATACTGGGGTCCTGATCCCCTGTTATACACAGGGACTCCATCCCATTACCATTCTATGGATGCTCCCCATTCCATAGGTGCCCCCACCACACAGGGGGTCCTGTTATATTGGTGGGGGGGAATATACTGATCCCCACCTCATGGAGGTCTCCACAGGCACACTATACAGAAGCCCACCTCCCCACATCCTACTGGGGCCCTGATCTCCCATTATATCCCATTATATCCCATTACCATTCTGTGGGTGCTCCCTAGGTGCCCCCACTGCACACAGGGTCCTTTTATCACTGTATATACTGATCTCCATCCCATGGAGGTCCCCACAGGGGCACTCTACACCAGCCCACCTCCTCCCGTTACACTGGGGTCCTGATGCCCCGTTCTATCCCATTATATCCCATTCCCATTCTATAGGTGCTCCCCCACTCCCTAGGTGACCCCACCCCACAGAGGGGTCCTGTTAGAACAGGGGGGGCTGTATATAGTGATCCCCACCCCACGGAGGGGTCCTGTTAGAAAAAGGGGGGCTGTATATAGTGATCCCCACCCCACGGAGGGGTCCTGTTAGAAAAAGGGGGGCTGTATATAGTGATCCCCACCCCACAGAGGGGTCCTGTTAGAACACGGGGGGCTGTATATAGTGATCAACACCCCACAGAGGGGTCCTGTTAAAAAAGGGGGGGCTGTATATAGTGATCCCCACCCCACAGAGCGGTTCTGTTAGAACAGGGGGGGCTGTATATAGTGATCCCCACCCCACAGAGGGGTTCTGTTATAATGGGGGGGCTGTATATAGTGATCCCCACCCCACAGAGGGGTCCTGTTGGAACAGGGGGGGCTGTATTAGCTGATCCCCACCACGGAGGTGGCCTGTTAGAAGAGGGGGGCGCTGTATATAGTGATCACCACCCCCCCCAACGGAAGGGTCCTTTTAGAAACAGGGGGGCTGTCCGGCACTGACCCCGGCCCCATCAGGCCCTCTTCCACAAGCCACACTCCACAGCCGCCACCTCCCCCTCACAGACGGGGGGGTCTCACCCCCTCACCATCGTTTTCCCATCCCGCGCTTCCCCTTCCTCCCCTCCCCTTTTCCTCCCTCCACTTCCCCCAGTCCCCCGAGCCGGACAGCACCAAGCACTTGACGTAGAGCAGGGGGTGGCTTGCGCGGCCACCCCGCCGCCCAGGCAGACACGAAGAGACCCCTCGGCTCCCTCAAGCGGCCGCCGGCGTTTCCCCCGCGGGGCCGCCAGCGCCGGGCGGCGACAAGCGCCCCCCGGGGCACGCCGCCACCGCCGCCATGGCCCGGGCCCGGCACCGGCCGCGCGCCCGCCGCCACCCACCGCGCCGTCCGCGGGGGAGCGGGGCGCGATACCACGTGCGGGGCCGCGCGGGGAAGCGCGGCCCTGAGGGGAAAGGACGGGAGAGATCGGGGGAACGTGAGGGGAGTGAGGTGGGGTTTGGTGGGGAAAGGGGAGAGGGAGAGGGAGAGGGGAGTTGGAGGAGGGGGAGAGAGAACGAAGGGGAGGAAGGGGGGAGGAAAGGAAGGGGGAATGAAGGAGGGAAAGGAGGGAACAAACAAGGAGGGAAAGGAGGAAACAGACAAGGAAGAAAGACGGAAAGGAGGGAAAAAACAAGGAAGAAAAGAGGGAGAGGAGGAAACAAGGAAGAAAAGAAGGAAAGGAGAAAAGAAACAAGGAAGGAAAGGAGGAAACAAACAAGGTAGAAAAAAAGGAAAGAGGAAACAAACAAGGAAAAAAAAGGAAAGGAGGAAACAAGGAAGAAAAGAGGGAAGGAGGAAACAAACAAGGGAGGAAAGGAGGAAACAAACAAGGAAGTAAGGAAAGGAGGAAAAGAAAGGAGAAAGGAGGAAAGGAAAGGAAAGGAAAGGAAAGGAAAGGAAAGGAAAGGAAAGGAAAGGAAAGGAAAGGAAAGGAAAGGAAAGGAAAGGAAAGGAAAGGAAAGGAAAGGAAAGGAAAGGAAAGGAAAGGAAAGGAAAGGAAAGGAAAGGAAAGGAGAAAAGAAAGGAAGGAGAAAGGAAAGGAAAGAAGAAAGGAAAGAAAAGGAGAAAGAGAAAGGACAGGGGAAAGGAAAAAGAAAAGGAATGGAAAAAGGAAAAAGGAAAGGAAAGGAAAGGAAAGGAAAGGAAAGGAAAGGAAAGGAAAGGAAAGGAAAGGAAAGGAAAGGAAAATGGAAGACCTGCACTTGCACTGTTATGCTTTTCTCTAGGAACTACAAGCAGGATGTTTATCCCAGAAAAGTGCCCTCCCTCCACATGGACCTTTATCCAGCCACATCTTGTTCTTTTTCACAGTGCATTATTACCAACAGTGCTTGGTTATTGCCAAGAATCCTTGTCTGTTATTACCAACAGTCCTTGGTTGGCTTCAGAGCCACACACACATCAGCCCCTTATGCCCCCCTGGGCACCAGGACCCTGCACCACTCCCTCCCTCCTTCCCATCAGGGTCCTGCCAGCCCATTCCCAGCCCCTCTGGACATCAGGACCGTTCAGATCCCACCCTGAACTCCACCCCGGTGGGACACATCCCACCCGTCACGGGGGGATCCAGCACCAGGTTGTGCAGCAGGTCCAACCTCCTGCCCCGCTGGTGCCCTTGCACCGTTCCTGCTGTTGCCTGGTTTGTGCCACCTTCCCAAACTGAACCAGTTCCCAGGGCTTTCTCAGCGTTTCTCCTACTCACAACCTGCTGTGCTTCCTCTTTCCTTTTCCTTTTGAGGCCAAGCCAGAGACAGGCTCTCCTGCCACAGAGAGGGCGGCGGGTGGGCTTTGCCTCGTGCAAATCCTCTTCCCCAAACCACAGCCTGGGTCCCCTCAAGGCAGAGAGGGGGACAGAAGGAGGGAGCTGCAGCCATCAGTCCCACTCCTGCAGCTCCTGCACACCCAGGACCTGCTCCCAGGCAGTGCCATGGAGGGAGAGGTGGATAATCAGCAGAGTGTGGTGAAGCTGGTGGCTGTGTTTGAAGAGCACTGGTAAGGAGGGAGGGTTCTGGGTGCTGAGGGGGTGTGTGGGCTCCACGTGGAGTGGGTTTTGGAAGGAAGAAACCCACCGTGGAGGCTGTGGTTTGGAGGCTGTGGAGAAGTTGACAAGGTGATTTGTTGTTCTTTATCACTCTGTCTTCCTCCCGCTGTGGGTCATGAACAGAAGCCTGAAAACCTCAGTGGCATGTGAGTGACTCTGCCTGGCTCAGGTTGTGGTAGCCTGTTCCCCCCACACTCAGTACTGGCTGGTGAATCCTTTTGCTGCTGCTGCTGCTGCTGGGGAAAAGAATTGTGGTTTGCAAATATGTAGGCAGGGGTCTTCTTCCTCTGGGAATTAACTGCCTGGGTGTCTGGGAGGATCCCAGCCTCAGACTGTGCAGTTGTTTGCAGAGGTGTGGCTCCTAGGAAAGAAAGGTGAAGCATTGTGTTAAGGGGGAGAGCAAGTGCCTTTTGTAAAACAGCACCATTATTTGGAGTGTGAGCTGGGACCCTCAGACAGTGTGGTTCTAGGGTTGGAGTGAAGAGATCTGCCCTGATTCTGGTGTAAAAGGAATACTGAGGCTTGAGGTGAGTTATTGTTGAGGTCTGTGCCTCAGTTTCTCCATCTGTTGAATCAGGATACAGAATCCTGCCTTTCCTTGTCCCCATGAGGTGCTCTCAGTGAGCATTAATAGGGCTGTGTGGTTGGGCAGGTGAGTTTTACATCAATTCCTAGAGTGGCTCAGGCACAGGGTTTCCTTTTACTCCAAGAACTTTGCCTGCATCTCCACTGGGTGCTTTTCCTGGGATTTGTGGTTGTCCCCATCAACCCCCATAATGTTGTGTTGGAACTGCTGCAGGGTTTGATCTGCCTCCACATCACTGCTGCAGAGTGTTTGTTGTTTATCATGGAGTGTGAGTTTGATTTAGAGGAAATAAAAGTAACTTGGGACTTTCAGAGGAAGCTGGGGAACCTGGGAACGAGTTTTCTGGAACAGAAAATGATTTGGCCCAAGTCAGCACAAACAGAAAGAGAGAAGTTCCCTGTGGGAGCTCTGCAGTGGGTTTAGGCTGACAGGTCTGGGAGGCACTGGGAGAGATGGATAAAGACTCTGTCTCTGAAGGGTTCTGCCAGTCCCCTTGGGCAGAAGGAGATGTGTGCATGGCTGTGGATCTACTCCTGAGCTCACAGACTTGTGCTTGGGAGGGACCCAACATCGTCTTCAGATGAATCTCTACCCCTCAAGTCACCTCCTATCCTCAACTTTGCAGTTCTGTGTCCAGTTTCACACAGGTTTTTCCATCCTCATCCCACTCCTGTCTGCAGACCCACAGTGGATCTTTCCAGTTTATGCCCAGAGCAGTTTCCTACAGGGACCAGCTCTCGGATGACAGACAACTCACTGTCACCTTCACAGCCTGGCTTCTCTCCCATGCCTGCTCTTTTCCCTTTGCCAGAAAAGGAAAGAGAAAACACCACCAAAAAAACAACCTGTCTGCAAAACCACCTACACAAGCCCTGCTCTTGGCTATTGGGCTTCTCCCCACTTTGGATCTGCAGTGCCAGAGCTGTACCTGGGAAATAATTGGATATGCCTGGGATAAACAGCAGAATCCTGCTTTTCTAGAGCAGGACAGGAACAGGCCACAGCAGCAGGAGGCACTGGGAAAAAAGAAGCTGGATCCTGGCCCCATGGGGGATGTTGGGGATGTTTGTACTGCAGGGCTGGAGCAGAGCAGAGCAGTGTCAGTGCTAGGGAGCTGCTGCTCTTGTCACCTTTGCTCGAGGACAGTGGCTTTGAGCTGGGCCTGGGAGCTTGTTGGGAGAAGGGGTGAGCTGATCACACTGATTCCTTTGTAGCAGGGACAGCAAATTTGCCTGCAGGGATAACCAGGCTCCTCACAGCCAGACCACTGCTGCAGCCAGCCAGCCCCAGCAGCTTCCAGCATCCCCTGCCCGCTGGAGCCTCTCCCCGAGGGCTGCCAGGCTCCAAGGGGAGCAAGAGCAGGAGGAGGAGCAGCAAGGTCAGCATGGACTCAGCTTCAAATGCCTCCGTTCTTTGCGACACAAAATCCGTGAGGATAACTGGAGGAGGCCCCAGGGCCTGGGGCTGGAGCCTGGCAAGGAGGTGAGCTCTGGAGGTGGCTCAGGGGACCCTGGTGGGTGCCCATGCTCAGGCATGGAACTGCCTGAGCTGGCTCAGAGCTTGGGGTCACATCTCCTCCCACTCCATACAGGAACCAGAGGAAAAGAAAATCGCTCTGGAGCTGCTGGAGACAGAGCAGGCTTATGTCAACCGCCTCCACCTCCTCGACCAGGTGAGCTGGGCAGTGGAGGGGCTCATGCAAGGAGATTTTGGAGAGGGTGAAGGTGTACAACAGAGAGACAAGTGGGCTGCTGGTCTTCTTGGCCAGGGATTTGGTCTGGTCTTTGCCTTTCCTACACCCCCCCTTTCCACGGAGCACCCTTGTCCCATCAAAGCCTTCCCACTGCTTCTCTCTTGGGGCCTGGGATTTCCCCCCTGCACAGGGTCAGGCCTTTCACTGAGCCATGTGCCAGTCTCAGAGAGGGAATGGGATCCTCAGGCCTCTTCCTGACCCTTTTTGTTCACCTCTTCTTTCTTCCAGGTGTTCTACACAGAGCTGATGAAAGAAGCCAAAACTGGAAAGACGGTCCCAGAGGAGGTGGTGAAAATGATCTTCTCCAACATCTCCTCCATCCACCAGTTTCACTCCGAGTTCTTCCTGCCAGAGCTGCGGAAGCGCATGGAGGATTGGTGAGCTCAGGGGGACACCTGGAGCAGTGCTGAGTCTGGGCTCCCACCAGGACCAGAGCTCGGCCTGCTTTGCTCCAAATGTCTTTGTGCTGGAAAGCACTTCCTTAAAACACTCAGATCAGAGCATTTCTGAAAAGTGGGGGTGACATCTCAGGTGGTTTTAGGATGTGCCCAGGTGTGACCAGCCCAGACTGGCTGCAAGCTTGGGACATTCTCATCCTGGAGAGCAGGCAGTTGTGTGAGGGGTGTAGCAGGTTGCAGCAGTACAAATGTTAGTAGAAAAGTTAGGAGCTGGCACAGGTTGCCCAGAGAAGCTGTGGCTGCCCCATCCCTGGAAGTATCCAAGGCCAGCTTGAACGGGGCTTGGAGCAACCTGATCTAGTGGAAGGTGTCCCTGCCCATGGCAGGGGGTGGAATGGGATGACCTTTAAGGTCCCTTTCAGCCCAAACCATTCTGGGATCCTGTGAAACCACCACACCCCTTCGTGTGATCCCTCACTGTCTGTCTGCCCCAATGCACTGAGGAAGCTGCTGTTCCCTCCTGCAGGAACTGCAACCCCCGGATTGGGGATGTGATCCAGAAACTTGCACCATTCCTCAAGATGTACGGGGAATACGTGAAGAACTTCGACAAGGCCGTGGAGCTCATCACTGCCTGGTCAGAGAAATCCCCGCCCTTCCAGGAGCTCATTGCTGACATCCAGGTGAGGGCAGGGTGAGGGACCACAGCAGTGCTCCCCAAAATCTCCTTGCTCCACCCAGCAGAGGGTGGGAGCTGCCTTGGTCACTGTTCCTCTCTCCGTGCCTGGTGTCTCTCCCCAGAAGAGGAAGGTCTGTGCTAATCTAACGCTGCAGCACCACATGCTGGAGCCTGTGCAGAGGATCCCACGCTACGAACTCCTCCTGAAGGATTATGTCCAGAAACTGCCGCCTGAGTCCCCCGACCGGGGCGATGCCGAGAGTAAGGGCTCTGTCTGGCCCACCCTGGGGAGTGGCAGGGTGGGTTTGTAGGGGAAATAACAATCCCTAGTGTTGTACACAGGCATTAGAAAACCTGGATTCACTCACCAGCTGCCCTGAGCTCTGATAAACCTCTCAGTCTGATCCTTTTCTGGCAGGGAGAGGGATTAATCTGCCCTTCCAGGGGCTGTGGAGGTCAGTGAGGAAGGGTGATGTTTCAGGATAAGGGTGGTCCCTCCAGAGCATCCCCTAGGGAGACCTGCAGAGCTGTCAGACCCTTGTAGATAACACAGTTCCCAGTCCTGCTGGGATGGAGGGATATGGGACTGTCTGTCTGTCCTCCCAGGACCCCACCACGCACAGTCTGGCCATACCTGGACTCTTGTGCAGCATTTTGGGGCCGTTTGGGTTGGGTCCAGGGGAAGGCAGCAGCCACCACACATGTACATCCATGAGGGACAGACCCAGGAGCTTCCTCCCACAGCTCCAGAGCAGGTGTTTAACCTCCAGCCTCTCTCTTCTCTTTGCAGAGGCCCTGGAGATGATCTTTATGGTGGCCAAGCACTCCAACGCAGCTATCGCCGAGATGGTGAGCGCCTGTCCCAGCTGGAAGTGCTCTGCAGCTCCTGAATGGGACAGGAGCACTGTGGGTTCAGCACAGGAGCTAAGACCCTGCTCTTGATGCCTGACCCCATCACCCTGAGCCTGGGGAGTCATGTCTGTAACATCAGTGATGTGACCAGCTGCTCAAGGCTGGGATTTGCTCCCAGAGATGAATCCGGGCTGAGAGAGCAAGTGCCACCTCTCCCAGTTATCAGCAGCTGGCTTGGGAGGTGGGGATGGGGGGAATCCAGGGGTGGCAAGGTCGTGGCTGCTCATCACCCCACAAAAACAGGTCCCTCTGCCTCCCCCAGGAACGGCTGCAGAACCTCTGGGTGGTCTATCAGCGGCTGGGCCTCGAGGATGACATTGTGGATCCCTCCAACCAGCTGATCAAGGAGGGACCCATCCAAAAAGTCTCCACCCGCAACAACAGCACGTCGGAGAAGTACCTGTTCCTGGTGGGAGCTGGGGTGCCCAGGGGAAGGGGAGGGAGCAGATAAGATGGGAATGGGGGCAGAGGCAGCACAGCCTGGCGTGGGTGCTGCTGGGTCATCTCGGCACAGAGGGGATGAATTCAGAGGTGGGAGATTGGACCCTGCTCAATGCAGGGCATCCTGTGTAGGATGTGGTTGGGAATCTGCTGATCCCATGGGCAAGGCAGCCCTGGGAGGTGCCTCTCTCCCCTTTGTAGGGTGGGAGAGGGCTGGGGCAGAAACAGTCACGTTTTAGGCGGATTCTTCCCAAGGACCAGCTCAGGCTTGGGGGATCTGATCCCCCAGATCCCAAGGAAGCCCCCAGCTGGGAGCAGGCAGGTACTGGGCTCCAACCCATCCCTCTCCCCGCTCCCAGTTCAACAACATGCTGCTGTACTGCGTGCCCAAGGTCATCCAGGTGGGCGCCGAGTTCCAGGTCCGCCTGCGCATGGACGTGGACGGCATGAAGGTCAGACAGGCACCTTGTCTTTGTGCTTCCCCCAGACCTTGACTCCTCCAAGAGCCCCCCAATTTGGGGTGTAACGTGGCTGCTGCCCCTCACTTCCTCGGGAAGGAGGGAGGAGCTGGAGCCAGGGCTGGCTTTGTGGGCGAGGTTGGTACGCTCTGATCCTGCGAAATGCCAGTGAAATCTTGTGCACGTGGGATCTGAGGGGCTGAAGGGCTTGTGCCCGAGGGACATCCCTGTGCCTCACACCATGGAGGAAGGTCTCTGCGTGCTGGAGGTGGCTTCAGCTCCACATCCCTTCTCCGGTGTCTGGCAGGTGTGGGGGCTGAAGGACACAGAGTTCCCTCACACCTTCCTGGTGTCGGGAAAGCAGCGGACGCTGCAGCTGCAGGCCAGGTAAGGGGAAGGGGGACCTCACCCAGACCCTCAGGGAGCAGGGACAACAGCTTATCCATCTCCCTTTTGTATCCAGGTCTGGGGAGGAGATGGATGCCTGGATTAAGGTACCACCGAGTGCTGGGAGTGGTGGCACATCTGCCTCATCCCAGCGGGATGCTCTGTGTCAGGGCAGCCCCCAACTGCCCCTCCAGCCCTGCCTTTCCCTCTAGGCCTTCCAAGATGCCATTGACAGGAAGGAGAAGAGAAGTGAGACCTTTAGGACAGCAGTACCTGGACTGGAGACAGACAGCCCTGCACTGAAGGTACCCTCCTGCTCTCCCCGTGCCCCCTGCACAGAGCCCACCTTGCTGTGCCTCAGCTCTCCTCGCTAAACCGAGCTGGGGGGAGGCTGCGGACGGGGAGAAGGGCTGAGGAGGGGAAGGGGCGAGAGCAGAGGGCTGGGACCACCCAGAGCACGGCTGGCCAGCCCCACTGATGCAGCCCCCGACCCTCAGACAGAGGAGCTGGGCCGCCGAGCTCCGCAGTGGGTGCGGGACAACCTGGTGACGATGTGCATGCGCTGCAGGGAGCCCTTCAACGCCATCACCCGCCGGAGACACCACTGCCGAGCCTGTGGATACGTGAGTCCCCTCTCCCCTCCTTCCCCTCCCTCCTGGCCTGCTCGGGTGGCTGCTGGGGCAGGACCACACCTCTCCTACACCGTGTATCCCTTTCCCCCCCAGGCTCAGGGTTGCTCCCGCCCCTCAGCTCCTCACGGAGCTGTCCCTGGATGCCCCAGTCTCAGCAGTGTCCCTGTCTGTGGCTGCAGGTGGTGTGTGCTCGCTGCTCTGACTACAAGGCTGAGCTGCAGTACGACGGGAACCGCCTGAACCGCGTCTGCCAGGAGTGTTACATCTTCCTGACGGGCCACGCGGTGCCCGAGGACCGGGAGGGGAAGCACAAAGGCATCCTGGAGGTGAGCTCTGCCCCCCTCTGTCCCTCTGAGCTCTGCCACCCACCCTGGTCCCCAGCGTCGCTGTCCCAGCCTGGCCCTGCCCCTGCAGCAGGAGGGGTGCGAGTCACTCCCACAGCAGTCAGAGGGAGCATGTGCTGAGCTCCCTCCTGCTCCAAGCCCAGGGACCCCCCAACAGCCAGGGCTCCCTTCACCACGGGATCTCAGCAGCACCCTCACAGCCAGGACAGCCCCTTGCCTGCCCCTGCTTTTGGGGGTTTGATGGAGTGGGTGGGGAATTCCCCAGGAAAGGGCCTTGGCTTGGTGCCCTTTCTGCCTCCTGCACTGAGTATTGAGAGATTTGTTGGGGTTTTTTTGGCAGAAAGGAGCTGCAGAGGTATCAAGCAGGAGTTTGCTCTGCAGTTCCCTGCAGCTGCTGGACAAGAACGGCAAGGGGGGGACGCGGGGCTGGTTTGTGATCCCGCAGGACGATCCCCTCGTGCTGTACATCTACGCAGCCCCCCAGGTAAGGCCGGGCTCGGATCCATCCTCAAGGGACATCCCGCTGTGCCCACCCCCTGCCTCCCACCACTGTCTGTCCTTGGCAGGACGTGCGAGCCCACACCTCCATCCCCCTCCTGGGCTACCAGGTGAAGGACCTGCCCCAGAGCGACTCCCGCCACCTCTTCCAGCTGGCGCAGTCCGGGCAGGTTCACACCTTCCTGGCCGACACCGAGGAGCTGAAGCGGCGCTGGATGAGGGCCATGGCACGCTCTGCCGCAGGGATCACACCCCCAGAGGATGAGGAGGAGGATGCAGACCCCTGTGACAAAGCAGAATGAGGCCATTCCCACCCCTGGGCCGCCTGGGGAGTCACCTCCCCAGCCTGTCCTCGCCGCTGGCTTCATGCAGACCCGCGACATCTCTGCGCTTGGGTTACCATCATGAAAAGGACCACACGGACAAGCCGGATTCCCCTTCCCCTCGCTCCTTGCCCCCCGCACTGGACGGAACGAGGCGGAGGGATGGGGGTCTTGGGAGGTCCTCGCCCCTGCAGCCCCGCCGCTGTGCAGTACCGCCGGCGGCCACGCGAGGGCAGCCCCGGCCCGCCCTTGCTCCGTCCCGGCGCGGGGGTGCCCGGAGCGGTGAATCTGTGGGATTGGGGTTGCTGGGATAAATCCCAGGGATAAATCCCGCCTGCGACCCGTCTCCGCAGTCCGTGCAGCCTTCTTCGGGGGTGTATTTTCCACGGGATTGTCCCCATGCCTCCACATCGCCGTATCTGTCACCAGCCCTGGTCTGATGCCCTGCAGGGACCCAGTTTGTGGCTCACCCACACACCTCAGGGACCCCAGTGCTGGGTTTAGGATGTCCCCTCCCAGCTTGTCACCACTCCTGGCCTCACACTGCTGCAGTCCCATGGTGTGGGTGTTCCTCCTTACCACAGACACCCCTCACCTGCATCACTGAGCCACTCCACACTCCTGCCCCTCCCAGACTTTCCCTTCACCCCCTCCTGTCCACAAGCACTTTCCACCCTTGCACCTCCCTCAGTTACTTGTTTCCTGGGGCAAAACACTCTGGGACAAGGTTGTGTCCACACAGGTGCTGCTGTGATGCTGAGGAGACACAGGGGATCCCCCTCTCTGTCGTCATCATAACGAGCACCCCTGGTTGTTTCACGCAGCACTTTAGGCTGCAGCCCCACATTTTTCTCTCTGCATCCTCTTTAGCTCCCCAAGAATGTTGCCTGGGCAGAAGTTGCCACTTCTGAGCCTGCCAGGGGCTGAAATGGGACGCAGGAACCCATGGAGCTGGAGGAGCCCACAATCCCTGGCCGGCAGGGAGGGCTGTCCTTTGCAGGCAGGGGTTGCTGCCTGAGCCTGGACCACACAGCAGCTCCAGCACAGCAGCCTTGGGCAGAGCCCAGGGGTGCCACAGGCTGAACAGATCCATGGAGACAGGGAAGGGAAGGGAGCTGGAGCAGGATACTGCAAATAGGGACATCTCTTGGGGAAAGCATGTGGAATAAAGGTGGATGGGGGGGCCTCAGAGAGACAGGAAAAAGCCATAAGCATCCTTCCTCCATCTACCCAGCTCAGCTCATCCTGGGAAAGGGTAAACCATGGTGGTTTTATCTCCTCCAGCTAAAGAGATCCCATCAAGGAAGAGGGAGAGGAGCTGGATGTCAGGGCAAAAACTCTGCCAAAGCAGTTGCCCCTCAGGGTGCCACCCAGCGTGGGGCTGAGCCCAGAAGAAGCAAACAATGCAGGGCCTTCCAGGGACACCCCAAAACAGCCCTCGTGGGAAGGGGAAACCCCACCAACACCGGAAAAGCCCTGGAAAAGCTGCTGGGGGGGAAGAGTGAGCAAGGGGAAGCCCACAGGGCTGGCAGGCTCTGCGTGGTGGCCCTTGGTGTGGCGTCACCCCTGTGTCAGTGAGGAACAAAACAAGCCCAGAGCAGGGACCTGCCCTCAGCCCTGAATGGGCCTAAGAATAGATTTCCTGTTTACCCAGGGAGGAATTGCTCCTGGGGCAGAGGGCACCTGGGGGCTATTTTTACCAGCTCCTGCCCTCCTCCTTCCTGACCCCCAGCACCCTTGGGGGGACCCATGTGTGCCACAGGAAAGGGGCTGTCAGGGAAGAGAGGTGGCCTGGGGGCAGAGGGGGTGACAGGGCATCAGGGCAGGTCACTGCCATGGCTTTGGCATCGTGCCTTACTCAAATATGGGGAGACAGTATCCCCAATCTCTCAGTGGAAGACCAAATTTACAGGAGGTATCATGGTGCCCCCACTCTGCTTTCCTAGAAAAAAACCCCAAACAAACAAAAACCCCCAAACAAACAAACAAAAAAACAAACAAAAAAACCCCAAAACAAAACAAAACAAAGGAAACAAGAAAAAAAAAAGACATTTTTGCACCCAAGAAATGCAGAGAACACACCGATGAATCTGAATTTGCTCTCCCCATCCTTTCTCAGTCCCCTGCAGTGATGGTCAAGCGGAGCAGTTTGGCCTCTCCCCTCCCCCGGCAGAAAGTGAAACCCGGAGCAGAAGTCACAGTTTCCTATTCTCGAGAATGGGGAAGGCTCGGGAGGCCACTTACGGGAATCCCCCCCC